TGCTGGCAAGAAGCCAGGCATCCCCTGGCAGCCAGAGACTCACTGGGTGTTGGCACTTCCTTCATCTGCTCTTTATATACCACAAACACTCAACAGCTCACCAAGCCTGCCTGGGGTGGGGGAGGAGGGTCCCAAGGCCCAGCTCCAGGGCTGCCTCCATTTCCCCACTTCAAGGCAAGGGAGAACCTCCCCCTACCCAGGGCACTGGCTGGCTGACTGCCCAGCCCCCAGGCTCCTCTGGTCCCAATCCTGGCTCAGGAAGGAGGGCTCAGTACGTCCTAGACCCCCTCCCAATATCCCCTGCCCCTGAAGCTGTATGTAGCTCCCACGGAGAGGGGGTGTGTGTGTGTTGCTCCATGGCCCATGCCAAGTTGGGGCAGGCTGGGACACAAGGACTGCACTCACGGTGACTTAGCAGAGCCAGGCTCCCCTGACACTCCCAGCAACAGGTGCTCAGGGTACCCTCTGCCCGCTCCCCACCTCCACCCACCCTGGGGCCATGCTTGGAACAGCAGCATGAGGCACAGATGGCACAGGTGGGAGGCACCAGCTCCCCTAGGGTGGGAGGGTGACCTCAGGGCAATGGGTTTGAAAGCACCAGCCTGCGAGGCTGGTGGGAGGGAGAAGGGGTCAGGCCATCTCCACCACCCCAGGGCTGCATCATGCCTGGCCCCAGCCCTTGAAAGCCTGGGTCCCCTAGGGAGTGCCTGGTTATTTCTCTTATGTGGATATGTGGACCCAGGTGCTAGGAGCTACCCTCCCAGGGTCACAACCTCACTCCCAGCCCCCAGCGTGGCACAGCAGAGAGGGAGAACTGGTTTGCATCCTGGATACCGGAGTTCCTTGTGTGCACAAATAAGCAGTATAGAAGCAGAGGAGGTTGTCACTCCTCCCAACCCCCCTCAACAGGGAGAGGCTCTTGGGAGACAGTGGGGACCCCCCAGGGAAAGAAGAGCACTGTTCTGGCCATGGGGCAGAGGGTGCTGGGAGCAGGAGACCGGGCCAGAAGTTAGTAGTATTTGGAGGGGGCAGGCGCACACATCTGGGGCTGGTGGTATGCAGGGGGAGGGCAGGGGCACGGCCCCATGGAGATGCCCCTGCCGTGCTCCAGGGCCCTAAGCTCGGGGGCTGCTTCCAGGCCCTGGCCCCAACACCATTCCTGGGCTTGGGGCCCTAGCAGTGGACAGGGGCAACGGGGGAACTACTCACAGAGGCACCAAGGATGACAAAGACATGTGCATCAGTGGGGTGGAAGTCCTGCCCCTGGCACAGCTCCTGGCGTAGCATCCCGCACACCTGTGAGCGGCTGAGCTCCTGTGGCTTGGCCATGGTGCGGTCTGATGGGCAAGAAACAGGGTGTGTAGCAGGGACAGCCTGGGCCACGCCCACGCGCCGGGGGTGGGGCACCTGGCCTGGCCCGGCCCGGCCAACCAGGTAGGTCCCACCTGTTGCAACAGGCCCGGGCTAGAGAAGAGAAAGGAAGGGCTGGGCCGCGCAGAGGGGAAAAGGGAAGTGGGGGCGGGGCAGAAGGGGAAAGGGGAAGCAGAAGGGGAAGGGGGGCAGGAAAGGAGGAAGCGACGGGGGGGGGCGGCGGGGGGGGGGGGGGGCGGGGCCG